TTAAGATTTTACATAATTTTCATTTTTCAACTTTTTTTTACATTTTTTTATCCATTAATTATTAAAAATGCACTTTTAATCTTTCATTAGTTAATCTATTAAATCTATCTGAATTTACACATTTTTAATCTTTTAAGAATTAAAAATGTGCATATATTAGAAGTTGAGAGATTAAAAATATACAAATTTAGATGGATTTAACGAATTAATCGATAAAAAGATTAAAAAAAATATTTTTTATAGTTAAAAAATTAAAAAAATATAAAAAATATAAAAATAAAAATTATGCAAAAACCTAAATTGAGGATCAAAATTGACACATTTAATCTATATTGAATTCCGGTGGTTGGGATTGGAAGTCTATGAAAGTTCGATACGGTGAAGGTCCCACTCCCATCCACTTGCTTTGACTTAATTTACTTGGAATGCTCCCTCGGCCGTGGAAGGCTCTCTAGTCTCTATTATTACCGCCTTCGTGGATTCTTGGAATCTTTCTTCTCCTCCTCTTTTGAATTTGGAGCTTTCTTTTTTATTTTTATCTTTATTTCCGGAAATTACAAATTTAATTGTTTGTGGTTTGAAATAAATACATATAAAAATTTAAAGTTTTGAAATACGCACATAAATATTTGATTTTGGATTTGTATTGATAAAAATTTAAAATTTTAAAATATATACATAAAAGTATATAATTTGTATTAACGGTAAATAATTACTTAAAATTTTTTAAAATGTTATTTAAAAGAATGAAAATAAAATAAAATAAGAGTATTGAAGATATTTCATTTAATTTCAAGTTATTATGTATGACTACTTTAAGCTACGAGTATGTTATGTATATTTTAGATTAAAACCCCATTTTAGTCCTTAAACTATTATATGGATCCTCAATTTGATTCTCAAACTTAAAAAATTTTTGATTTGGTCCATATTGTTTACTATTTTAACCCCAACTTGGTCATTCTGTTAAAAACCTCATTACGTATCCTGTTAATTCACGGTTATATGGTGACATGGCAAAATATTAATACACGTAAAAAACAACATGACAAAAAATAATGACATGAAAAAAATAATAATATAAAAAAATGTTAATATGAAAAATAAAATTTTAAAAATTCTTGCCTTTTTTCTTTTTCCTTTTCTTTCCCCTTGGAACCCAACGGTTGCTGCGTTCCATCGAACCTAGTAGCCTTTGCTGGGTCCCTTCAAACCCAAGTGTGGGTTTGATGAAACCTAGGCGTGGTTTCGATGAAACCTAGTTAATGATGAATTTTTAATTGAAGGACCAAATTGAGGTCAAATTAGAAAACAGTAGAGACCAAATCAAGGATTTTATAAATTTAGGGACCAAACCAGAGAGTTTATACAATAGTTCAGGAACCAAAATGGAGTTTTAACATATATTTTAAAATCTTGAATTTTTATGTACAC